GGTCCTCACTCTATCCCGGGTAAACCCGTTCCCACAATGTATTGGTCCTCACTCTATCCCGGGTAAACCCGTTCCCACAATGTATTGGTCCTCACTCTATCCCGGGTAAACCCGTTCCCACAATGTATTGGTCCTCACTCTATCCCGGGTAAACCCGTTCCCACAATGTAGTGGTCCTCACTCTATCCCGGGTAAACCCGTTCCCACAATGTATTGGTCCTCACTCTATCCCGGGTCAACCTGTTCCCAACAATGTATTGGTCCTCACTCTATCCCGGGTAAACCCGTTCCCACAATGTAGTGGTCCTCACTCTATCCCGGGTAAACCCGTTCCCACAATGTATTGGTCCTCACTCTATCCCGGGTAAACCCGTTCCCACAATGTAGTGGTCCTCACTCTATCCCGGGTAAACCCGTTCCAACAATGTAGTGGTCCTCACTCTATACCGGGTCAACCTGTTCCCACAATGTAGTGGTCCTCAGCTATCCTGGGTCCCCTAGTTTCCCACAATGTAGTGGCCCTTACGCTATCCTGGGTCCCCTAGTTCCCCGCATGGTACTGGTCCTCCGCTATCCCGGGTCCCATAATAACCCACAAGGTACTGGTCCTCAGCTGTCCTGGGTCCCCTAGTTCCCTACAATGTAGTGGCCCTTACGCTTTCCCGGGTCAACCTGTTCCCACATTGTAGTGGCCCTTACGCTATCCCGGGTCCCCCAGTTGCCCACAATGTAGTGGCCCTTACGCTATCCCGGGTCCCCCAGTTGCCCACAATGTAGTGGGCCTTACGCTATCCTGGGTCCCCTAGTTTCCCACATGGTACTGGTCCTCACGCTATCCTGGGTCCCCTAGTTCCCCACATGGTACTGGTCCTCACGCTATCCTGGGTCCCCTAGTTCCCCACATGGTACTGGTCCTCACGCTATCCTGGGTCCCCTAGTTCCCAACATGGTACTGGTTCTCACGCTATCCTGGGTCCCCTAGTTCCCCACATGGTACTGGTCCTCCGCTTTCCTGGGTCCCCTAGTTCCCCACATTGTACTGGTCCTCCGCTATCCTGGGACCCCTAGTTCCCCACAAGGTACTGGTCCTCCGCTTTCCTGGGACCCCTAGTTCCCCACATGGTACTGGTCCTCACGCTATCCTGGATCCCCTAGTTCCCAACATGGTACTGGTTCTCCGCTTTCCTGGGTCCCATGATAACCCACAAGGTACTGGTCCACCGCTATCCTGGGACCCCTAGTTCCCAACATGGTACTGGTCCTCACGCTATCCTGGGTCCCCTAGTTCCCCACATGGTACTGGTTCTCCGCTTTCCTGGGTCCCCTAGTTCCCCACATGGTACTGGTTCTCCGCTATCCTGGGTCCCCTAGTTCCCCACATGGTACTGGTTCTCCGCTATCCTGGGTCCCCTAGTTCCCCACATGGTACTGGTCCTCCGCTTTCCTGGGTCCCCTAGTTCCCCACATGGTACTGGTCCTCCGCTATCCTGGGACCCCTAGTTCCCCACAAGGTACTGGTCCTCCGCTTTCCTGGGACCCCTAGTTCCCCACATGGTACTGGTCCTCACGCTATCCTGGATCCCCTAGTTCCCAACATGGTACTGGTTCTCCGCTTTCCTGGGTCCCATGATAACCCACAAGGTACTGGTCCACCGCTATCCTGGGACCCCTAGTTCCCAACATGGTACTGGTCCTCACGCTATCCTGGGTCCCCTAGTTCCCCACATGGTACTGGTTCTCCGCTTTCCTGGGTCCCATGATAACCCACAAGGTACTGGTCCTCACGCTAATTGCAATAGATTCACACAATTTCACAGCCTTTAAGACTGTTGCATATAGTATATTCCTCTTATGAAGCTCTTCGTATCTCTGACACATGAAAAGTACAAAATATGCAATTCAAAAATATTTTGAGGTACAATCGAGCGTGATCATTCTACGAAAGTTATTAAGAACGTCTAGATATATTCATAAAGATTCAGAGTGCCAACAAACTCTACACAAGGCTATGTGAGAAGAGAAGATGAAAAATCAAAGTTCTCTTCATGTCGAGCAATTTTCAGCAGGTCCAGCCTTTGGTGTCTTCTTTTCACAACATCTCAGGTACAATCGAGCATTCCCTTTCTTCGAAGGTTTCAAAGAGCTTCATAAGCTTCTTGCTCAAACGATGTTTGGTTAGGGTTACAATATTCAAGTCCTTAGTAAAATTTAATATATTTATGGTACACATGTGTGGGACTTTTTCCAAATATGACGCATCAGTGACAAAACGGATACCCGATGAAATTCCATATTTTGACTTGTACCATTCCTCAAACTGGCAGTGATGACGTCATGCTCTGCACTGCCGGAAATGGTCGTCATGTGTGAAGGTCAGGGACGTTGGTAATAGAAATAGCTGCATCAAAGTCGGAGAACTAGTTCTCTTTCCAATTCGTCTCTATTTCAGGAGTATAGTAGAGGGTTTGTCGTAAGGTTATGGTATACTTGGCTTGAAGACTGGTAGGACAGGACATTCTCACCCGTTTCACTAACACCTGGTGCCATCATTGTAACTTTACGGTAATTTCTGAGTGTAGGTGTCTATGAATGTTTTTTGAACTGGACTATGTTTGAACAGAGACCATATAAAAGAGGGACGGCCCTCACCAACAGTTTATCACTAACCATCAGCGCTACGGTCTGGCATGTAACTGATACACCCCGACACCCTGCTGTTAACCTCCCTGTACCGCTGCAGATGCGCAATAGATGCGCAGACATTCACGACTGACCATTCTGGTAACCACGTAAACAATATTACATAATATCCGGGGTAAGAGTTAATTCCCTTAGCCGAGATTTCTCCGACTACGACCAGCGACAATCCAATAAAAGGACGTCTCTTAGCGGATTACAAAGATTTTTGTATGATATCTCTCATTAGCACATGTCAGTTGGCTGCAAATTATTTGCTGAACATGTGTGTCCTCCGGGACATTTATTTCAATTTATGCTGCAATTGTTAACTATTATAAATAAACAAATATACCAAATCTACTACGAACGCCACAGAAAACTACGATCCGGTAAATTGCACAGGAACTCAGGAAGTGTAAATAAAACTCATTCAGAAGCAGGGAAGACACTTGTAACATATCACCCTATTCCCGATGTTCACAAAATATATCTCCAGATTAACTTCATATCTTATATTAAGTCCAGACTAGATTTACTTGCAAAAATGCATGATCACCGACTGGTGTAAATGCTTTACTATTAGCCAGAAAAAAAATGACGCCATATTAATGTTTTTATTTCATGTAAATTCGCTACTATTTTATAATGCTAATAATTCCAATGAATTAAAAATACACATTAAACTACGAGCGTTGTTAAATGAATTTTCGATGTGTCTGACAATGGGCTTCGAAAGAATCAAATGTTATTGGTTAATGCCAGTTTGGGGCTAGCAGTGATAATAGGGTTTGCCGGAGCGAGATAAGTTTGACACCTTCGACCTTGTTGTCTGGAACTTCTCTCCCGACGACTGCCGATATAATCCTTCTTTTTTCTTGGCATTTACAAAGCAAATGATAATTTTATAATACAAATATTTCATGTAACGGATTTTTATTTTTGTATGATGTTTTTATTGTTGTGTAAATACACAAAGTAAGTAGTACCTTCATCATATTTACATTATTATGATTGGGTTTAGGCCAAGATCATTTTGCTCATAATCAATATTTACACGGCATAAAATAAATAATTGATTAAATGTAGTCATGATTAATACAGACAAAATCTTCAGAAGATAACAAATATGTAGTATTGTAGTATATAGTATATGCGCGATATGTGATAGAAGCCTAACTGAAACAAAGTTAAACTTACGAAAAAATGGCGAAAGCAAAGGTAAAAAAAATACGTGTCTTACAAAAACAATTCTAATATCATACAATATGTCACTTTGTATAATGTTTCAAAAGATATATGCGGATGATAATCACAGACAAAATGCATGTTATTTCGTCTGCTATATATGGTAATTTAATTTAAAATATGTGACGTAAAATATGGCCTTGCGCCAAAAATCATACAAAAAAAACTACCGATCGTACCTAAATAACTTTGGTACCAAGCCAAAGGGGAAATCGTGATGAATGTAAAACTATTTAATTCAGGACCGATGATAGGAACACATTCGTCTGAAAGCATGCGGAAATTAAGAGTTGTGGTGTAATTATTTCGGGAAAAGTCAGATTTAGTCCCATTTCTGGAGTCAAAATCTGAAATATCGCATCCGCCCTAAATTTGTAAATGGCACTAAGCCAATTTTTAACATATATCCTTTTTATACACCTTGGTAACCAAGGACTTTCATTGCGAATTAGAGGCCGTTATTGAAAATCAAAATCTGCACTTTTGCCGATTTTACATGTGCGCCATTTTGTTCTCTCGGACAAAGACAAAGCGTGATCACAGTCATCAAATACAGTGACAACGACATGCTTTAGGGCACCAACAAATCTCAGTTGTAATGTTAACAATGTTAAGAAATACATGAGTGTAATTTTGTTTTGTAAAATATATCTTTTGCATGGGAAAAAAAGGCGACAGCGATGACTGCAGTGAACGCGTTTCTGCTCGCTTCCGGACAGGCTGCGCAGTACAAGCCGTAGCACTGATGGTTTCGCACATAGGCTAGAGGGCCGTCCCTCTATTATATGGTCTCTGGTTTGAACTATTAATCTTAATGACACAGGGGGGTTGGGGTTACCTTGTGGTTAAAGCGTTCGTTCTTCACACCGAAGACCCTGGTTCGACTCCCGACATTGTGTGAAGCCAGCCTCGTCCCCCACCGTTGGGACATAGGTGGAATATTGGTAAAGGCGGCGTAAAACACCACTAACTCACTATCTCACTTGATGATAGAGAAACGAATGTGAACACACTTTAACGTTTTAACTGACCGTTTTCGTGAACCTTAATAAGTTTCAATATAATTCCAATTCTAGGACTAAAGAAGAAGGACGGCGTGAAAAGGAGAAAGCTCGGCCGCAACCCACGTGTTCCCTTCACTCAGCACCAGGTGGCGGTGTTAGAAGAGAAGTTCCGCCGAACTCACTACCTCAGCAGTATGGATGTTGCCGAACTGTCGACAGCTCTCAACCTATCGGACAACAGGGTAAGTGTCAAATTTTGCCGAACCATTAGATACAATGGCCACCAAGGCAATCTCATTAAAATCAGACCTCAGTTCACCCTCCCGCTAAACAAAGATCTGCGGACATCCCATTAGGGGTCACGTTAGAACGACCTTTCATCCGACCAATCAGAGCATTGCTTACAAGATTATGAAAGTGACAATCGGAATGTGATTTCTAACCATGCAACCTCGAAAATTTCAACTCCGAACGATAGTTAAGGGTTTAACGACTGAATCCATACAATCTAGACCATCTATTAGCCATTCCAGAATGTTCTTTTGTTCAGGTTTCAAATTTGTAATCGAGAATTTGTCAAAATATGTTTCGATGCGAAGTAGCCAATTTGAAATTAGTGCCGAAAAGCACGAGAAAGCTGCCTTCTGATTGGTCATTCCATTGGTCGGTCAAAGTTCGCGCAAGGTCGGTCTGACGTGACCCGTAATGGCATGTCCTCAGATCTTTGTTTAGCGGTAGCGAGAACTAAGATCTGATTTCAATGAGATTGCCACCAAGGTAAACGAACACTTTTTTGCATATTTGCACATATGTTGCAGCGAGTGTCATGATAATATTGGCTTTGGTCAGCTATACCAGCAGGATGAATTGACGTTTTTCATCGGTAGATGTTGTTGTTTCGAGACAATATATCTCGCGTTTATTCAAAGGGGTTGGGAGGAAGGGATGGGGTGATATGGAAAGAATCTTCTGAGGCGAACAATTTGAGTGGGTGAGTTTGTTTTAACGCTGTTTTGAATTGTATTTAAATCACAAAACAGCGTGTCAGCTTGAAGTGGGAGGAAAGCTCGAAGTGAAACAGGTCGCAAACGTTTACCACTTTGGTGAAACGTATATGTTACTGACCTAATCAAGGCGAAACTTGGAATCTAAACACGATCACAAGATCCTGACACGTCACAGGGACGCAACTCTACAAGAGGCTTAACGACGACTGGGTCCCCCCGTGTCCCCCGGATAGTTTGCATGCCTGGTTGGTTCCCCGTCGTCATGACGTCACAAGTCTCCGATCGGTCCAACATGAAGTGAGTGTGCGTGAGTGTGTGCGCGTGCATGTGTGCGTGCGTCCGTGTGTGTATGTTGGGGTGGGGGTAGGGGTAGGGTTAGGGGAGCAAATGTCCCTAGTGTATCTCCATAAATGGTTCCCTAAATTCATAATTCTGTCTCTGACGCTGCTCCCGTCATCTAGATTACCAATGACCTATGTATGGCATTTATTTTCACGTAACTTAAATCACTGTACTCAAGTTTGACGTACATCGAAAAACAACTGTAATAACGCTCCACTAAATATGCGTAGTATATGTACAATTTATGTCGCGTGTCAAATACAATGTAAATAACTTTATGAGAAAGTTTGGAACTTTCTAATGAAATATGATACGTCGTATTTCTTGGGGCTCTGCGTCTATTATGAAGCCTTCTATTATCCTGCCACATATTAATTTATACATCTAATAACATTTTACCTCGAAGGTATCTCTGAACAAACTGCTGACATTTTAAAAATAATAAATTTCGACAAATTGATGAGCTGTCAAACGTAACTGTTTTTCACTTGGGTATTAATGTTTAATCTAGTTGACAATATTGCTTCTCCGCTTGTCGGCTATTGTGTGTATTTCTTGTCGTCATTGCTATCAGATGAAGAGCACGGTAATATGACAATATACATGATTTGAGAATTCATTTAGTGCACTGATTAAAGGAAACTCGATCCAACTACTAGAAAGGCATATCGCCGCCATCAAAGATTAGAAGAAAAGAAATCAAGGCAATATGATGAATTAACTTGACCAAACTACTCTGCGTTATAACTTTTCATAAGCACTTATCACAAACTAATTGTCTACTCTCTGAATCGCTGAAAGGTTATGTGTAATTCTCTTGCCAGACATTTCGCTTGCCATGTTTTAAAGAAAGAACCTGCCGCCATGGGCAGAAATTCACTAAGGTTGAAAGGGGATAATCCTTAATACAAGCTTTAACATACTGAGCGTTCCCTGACAAATTCTGAATGTTTTGTAAACTCAACTGCCAGGCAAAGAAAAGTATGCGATTGAAATTTGAATTTAACCAAAATATTACGAACGTTATTAAAACGTTCCTGAATAAAAACATTCAAACACAAGGTCCATATCATAACTGTGATACCTGAACCAACTACATCACCATCGAAAAACCATTTCTTGTTTGTTTCATTTTTAGCCACCATCAAACATGGGTGTATACTTTCCCTTGTTCGGCGGATAAAACACATAATAAAACCCGTATTCAAGTTACCATAGAAACCCAGCTACCACTGTAAATGTAAGTCCGTTTGATGCAAAATCGTATATATGAAATGCAAAATATACATCCGAAAGCAACGGTTCGTCTTAAATGGCATGAAATTTCTTTATTTGTTTGTACCAACTCGCCATCATAATTTCAGACATTGTTGTAAAGTAGAGAAAACGTTGTTTAGCCAACTTTCATGTAATTGTTCGTGTTTCAATGCCTGGTGTTACAAAGGGCATCGCGGAACACAGGGATAATTTCAAACTTCTATTCTAAAATATTTTATTGTCACTCTCACTGTTGCTGCCAGTTGAAAAAATAATTTGACTGACAATTGCATGATCTAAACCATCTCTTTTACAGTATGAAGCTTATATTTCGCTCTCTACTTTGTCAATGCACCCCCTCCGACTTGCAAATAATCATAAACGTGAAATACCAAGGTTCTTGAGATCAACTGTCAATTTCATCATGTATCGTATTGCAATGATATATTGAGCTCGTTCTGTTTATTTTATTGTTTGCCTTTGAAATTAGCTGAATAGCAATACCAAGAACATCCCTTACATTGCTTTGAGAATGTTTTACAGATTCTCATTGTATATTCCATTTAATAGCTCTTACAGAAATATACGCTTCTGATTTAGATTTTCCCTTTGAGATGATTTTGTTACAGAAATGACAGTAGAAGGTGGGCCTAACACGTGTGAATTTCACGTGCAAATGTAGGGCTATTCAGTTTACAGTGTCGACCCCCTTGTAACAACATGCATTAATACCCTTCATGACTGAAATTGTGGTGACGAGTAGGTACGGACAAATAAAGAACTTTCAAGCCATTTAAGACGAATTGTTGCTTTCGAATTTATATCTATTTAGCATTTAATCGGTACGATTTTTCAGCCAAAGGACTATAGTTGAGAATTCCAATGAAAGGTTTTTGTCGCTTTTATTAATACGACATGGATAGCGTTCCTCCTAGAAAAAAATATAACAAAAGTAAATAACAATATATTAAATGACATTTACTTGACGTATTCGTTCTGTGAGTATGTAATATATTTACGTCTTAAATTAAACAAGGATAATACGTGTCGTGGGAGCAGCTGTTCCCTATACACTCTATAGTACTATGTAGCGATAAACAACTTGAGTTTGTGTCGGGGGCTTATCGTTGATGGCGTACGGCTTCCTGGACATGTGTCTGTGTTTAGAGCACTTGAGAAAGACGCTGTTGGGAGTTTAACCGAGCGACGTCCACCCTCACGACGACAGGGGCGTGGTCAGAAAAGTATAGATTGCTTTCCAGTGGGCGTGGCGGTCAAGCCAGATTGTCGTCTTCCCGTTGTCTTAACTAAAGAGACATGCCCCGGGTGGATCGTTGACGTTTATCGGTCGGTAATGACTGGTTTGTGGCCGGAGCTGACAAATGTAATCTTTCTGATTGATGACAGAGCTGACTGCTACTGCCTCATCAAAACAGAGTTACCGCTTCACTTTGATACGCCGTTAAATGAAAATACTGAACTTATGTTCAGTTTGTTTCAAGACGTTGTTTTAGAGTGCAATGTTTTACAATGCATTTTATTCATTGTCTGACATTTATATAGGACTACGATTCAAATCAGGATCTGAAAATGGAACTATCGCCTTGGGTTTATGAGGCTGAATATGTTTTCAGCACATGTTTTCTCACTGAAAGGATAGACCAATCTTTTGGGAATATTATTCACACATCCAGTATTAGATTTAGTAAAATTGATGACATCCTCAACGTTAAATGGTCAGCTCTTTAAAATCCTGACCAAGGGGGATTGTGGAGAAGACACTGTTAACTTCACAATGGCTGTGTGCGGATGTCTAACTCTGATAGGGTCAAATATGGTATGCATACTTGAATAATGTCTTAAACTGTGACCACCTCCTCCTTTTCGTCTAATAAAAATCAACCCTTCCCTTACCATTTAAATAAAATATGCCAGAGAAACATTGAATTATGTTTATGCAGCCGTGAGGAATAAATCAATGAAGCTAGTATATATTGGTGTGATGTCAAGATTTAAGGGCTTTATTTCAGATACAAATTACAATGATTTAACTTTCAAATATTAGGAGTGAGCACATATCTCTCGTTCGCAAAACATGAGATACACGTTTGAACAATTTAATCATATTAACAATGTTTTGTATGTATGCATGGTACATCGATTGCATGTTGGGGAGTAGTTTCTTTATTCCTTTATTGTTAACAGTTGTAAATTTGGGGATTACACATTTAAACAAGCAGTAGGCATCACCATGGGCACCAATTGTGCTCACCATCTGAATTTTTGCTTGCTTGGATTGGCCAAATTAGAACAAGGAAATATAGCCAAAAAGTTAACTGAAGCTTTAGAAATATCGATGATCGGATATCGTTCAGTATCGGTTAAAAAGCCAGTTCCCTTCCACTGATTTACCCACCTGAACTGGAAATAGACAGACCAGTGAAATCGCCTCATCTGTTTCATATTTAGATCGATATATAAAGATTCAGAGTGACAAAACCGTCAACTCAAGACTGAATTACAAGAGGGATGACTTGAACTTTCCAATAGTCAACTTTATAGTTGACCAATATTCCATGGTGATGTATTTGATAACGGGAACATAGTTGTGGTTTAGACCTTAACTTTGCAGTGGTCCAGCGACTGTTTTCGGCCTAGTAACGTTTTGATATCGTTTGTAAATGTTGGGTCAAATTCGATTTTCAAGTTTATACAGTATTATACTTTCCTTTGCCGGAGAGTCTAGTATCCTTATTTTCTAACACTAATACAGTGTATTCAAAGGTCTCTGAAATAGTGGTCCTTCACTCTATCTAATAACATGTTTCTAACCCGCAGCATCATACTTGCTACCTTGCGTGGCTTCCCATTGTTTCATGCTTTGTGTCGGTGTTTGACTTTAGTTAGGACTTAACCGGCGACCGTCCCCACCCCTCGACTCACTTCAACAACCGTCCCCCTCCCCACGGCTCACTTCAATAACCGCCCCCACCCACGGCTCACTTCATCCTTTGTTTTTCTCACCCACCCCACAATGAGAACAGTTTCTCTGGTCGGAACCCGCAGTGGGGGCAAATAATAATTAGCTCTGTACGGCAAGAATCAAGTATCTAATATTGTCAGGTAGCAGACCGATACTTTCGCATCTCGTCATTATCTCCGGGCGAATCGCGCGGGTAACCTTACCTGTCCAGCAACTCGCGTGCGTTGTTGCTCCAGTCCCATCTGTGCCGAGCATATTAAAGGCTGAACCAGTCGAGCCATTAACGACTTTCTAATCTCAGGTAGAATCGCCTCAAAACAAATCCCGGCTTTTGAAGCCAGTGTAACATTTAAACACCAGCTTCTGCTACACCTATCATTTGGACAGATTTGTTTAGGAAACTAATTTTGCGCACAGTTGACATCGACGCCGCTAAAACCATTGTTTCATGTGTCGCAGGTGTAGGCCATTGTGTTTTTTATCCTTTGCCATTCGACTTCAGACATATACTGTTAAAAAACAGGTAGTGTATCAATGTGCTTGCTGGGGACTAAGTATGTTCAACGCCATTGTTAAGTCCTTTTTAAACTGCACATCTGTTTTCTGTTACATTCATTACACAAATGTGTCAACACGTTCACACCCAAACAAATCATACTACTAACAAGACCAACAGTCGCTTAGGAGCATCACCGTGAATTTGAAGCCTGAACTACTAAACTAAAAATACCTGATTAAAAAATTACTAATTCTTCAAAACTCGTCATACAATAAAAGAATTATAAGCTACTGGTTTTCGTCTTCGCTGTCTAATAGCAGTTTACTTACCGCTTTACATATTCTGATTGCAATCCCAGCACACCATGAGTTATATTTTTCAAATATACTAAATGTAAATTAGATTGACTATTTATCAATCTGTCAATTTACTTCATGTTTAAGATTATAATAGGACTGTATTCCAATGATATCGTTTATTCTTTTATTCGACCAGACAGTCTCGTAAATAAATTCGTCTATTTTGAAAACAAATTGTTAAAAAGTGATTTTCTTATTTCATTGACTATTGGGTACTAAAAAACTTGATTGTTTGAACACGCAAAGGTCTTATTTGATTCCAAGGTTCTATGAAGATTTACTTTCCTGATTGATCCGCACAACATGAAATAAGGCACCATATTGCCGGTAGACGCGACAAGTAACAGGAACCTCGGAATAGGCATGATAGACATAAGTACCGCCTGCAGCCATCACTCATATTTAAGTAATATCTGAAATTGTTCATATATAAGTATAAATACTCGTATTGAAGTATAATTCTTCATACGGGAATGCCATGGGCAAATTTCATACTTGTTATAAAGCTAAGTCTATTATACCGAAACTTGCAGATATCAGCCCCCGTGTCAGGTTACATATTTTGACAATTTAATAAAAACTTGATGTTCTAAGATCTAATATAAGATATCGTATTTACCTATCATATTTCATTGACATTATATCATGGTAAAAGGCATTATGTTCTGAAATGAGATATTTCGGAACGATATAGAGAGATAATAAAACTAGGTAACGGGCTCATAACTATTTGTTCTGTGTATGGTTATGTCAGAAATGTAACATCATGGATTATGTTATTGGCTTATATCTTATATTAAAATGTTCAAAATATCTCGCAGATGTCTTATTTGATAAATGATATACGAAATTGCGTTAGTTAATATTTGCATCTGAATATAATATATATTATACCACTTATTCTAAATATATAAACATTTCATAATTCTGTCTGGAATATCACATTTATATGTACAATGATATTGATATTCTATAACTTATCTGTATGATAAGTTGTTGCTACGTGTCCATGTCCAGCTGTCTGTTACACGTGAAAGATGGTAGGTAGATATGGGATAGAGCTAGTTCTACCTTCGATTCACAACTTGTACGGGAAATACGACCCTCTCACTCGCATCATGATCATTTAAGCGTTAAGAAGCTGATAGAATTTCATTCATTCCCTCACGATAATTTGAAGACGGATGTGAAGTATTGGATTATTTAAAGTGAGTGAGTGAGTTTCGATTAAGGCTTCTCTGAACAGTACTTCAGTTAATTCTGGGCGTTTCAGCGTCACGTGTGTGGGAGGAGTGAGTGAGTGAGTGAGTATGGTTTTACACCGCATTTAGCAATATTCCAGCAATATCACGGCGGGGAACACCAGAAATGGGCTTCACACATTGTACCCATGTCGGGAATCGAACCCGGGTCTTCGGCGTGACGAGCGAACGCTTTAACCACTAGGCTACCCGACCGCCCCGGGTGTGGGAGGAAAGCCCAAAGTGATGTAAGTCTGGCATGCTTTACCACTTTGGTGAAACAAACGAGCATGGTACGGTGCTGACAAACCTAGAAACACTATTGGGGGATCAAAGGCTATTGGCACGGTTAGGGGACGCAACTCTGCACAGATAATATGCGCGAGTGAGTCTCAATTTTATGGTCTTTCTCAGATGTGTCAATCTCATTAAAATCAGATCTTTGGTCTGGCTATCGCTCAACAAAGCGGCAGGGAGAACTTAGATGTGATTTTAATGAGATTGCAGATGTGTTCAAATATGATTTTTACGGAATCACCAACGACCATATACGGATTTAACAATACTCTAGTTAGCGCATAGACCATGACAACCCTTGTTCAGTTAGATCATTTAACGTGTGTTGCGTTTGGATTTGTTCTTAAAACATATGTTTTTGTCACAGGTGAAGATCTGGTTCCAGAACCGACGTGCGCGTGAACGTCGTGACAGAGAGGCAGCGCAGACATCAGCACTTTTCCCGCCTAAACCCTCCCAGCCACTAATGGTGCCCTCAGTCACGTGGCCCATCCCTTCCACCACGACCAACACGGCTTTCGCCCAACTCCGCACAGCCATCCAGCAGAGTCGGGGGGGCTTCCTCCCCTCAGCGTTCAGCCTGTACCTCCCCCGTCCCGCGGGCCAGGAGGGGGTCAAGTGTGGCGTGGACACAGATGACCGTGCGGACCAGTACTGTAGTTGAGGCAGGTCGAGACAAGCGTCGTACTCGAACTGAAAATATTTCTGTATGTCTGCTGCTTTGAAAAATAAAGGTAGTAGACATGCATAGACTTGTATATCTGAATAAGGAGATTCAGACTTAATGGTACCGCCGTGACCAAGAGCAGTGGTGAAAAGATGACAGCCGGTTGGTTCACCGTATACCAATTACATTACATAGAAGAGGACAACACAGTAGATACTGTCATGATTGTAAGGGGCGGTCCGGTAGTCTAGTGGTTAAAGCGTTCGCTCGTCACGCCCGAGACCCAGGTTCGATTCATCTCATGGGTACAATGTGTGAAGCCCATTTCTGGTGTCCCCCGCCGTGATATAGCTGGAATATTGCAAAAAGCGGCGTAAAACCATACTCTCTCACTCACTCATGATTGTAAACATTTGAAGGCCCCGGGGTATACAAATACAGACTCGAACAATGACTATGAAATCAACACCACCAGAGGCCACGCTGTGCGTAAATATCTGTCCAGTAATCCGTGTTAGCAAGGTAACATGTCACCCGATTCTACACCTGAATACTGACTGCAGTTCTTGAAGCCGACCAGAGCGACCACCACGGGAACAAATCATGAACTTGTTTATGCTGAGCCATGATTAAAACGAGTGTGTCTCGTGGGGAGCGGGGTGGCGTCATCAGCAATGATGACATTCCCAGATCTGACGTGATGATCACATGGTCAACATGACATCGATGTCACAAGTAAGGCATGAGAAACTGTCAGCGTATCGTTTGTAAATAAAAACGTCATATTCAAATGCTGCTTTGCTATTTTTCTTTGTATAAATGGAGAATATATTATCTCACAAAGACCACAAAGACTCTATGATTCAAAGACTCTATGTTTCAAAGACTCTATGATTCAAAGATTCTATGATTCACAGACTCTATGATTCAAAGACTCTATGATTCAAAGACTCTATGATTCAAATGGCATACACGAGTGTGTCCCGACAGTGCGCTATCGACTTTCCTGGACTGCACGTTTTTAAGCCCTGGGCCTAATTATGGATTTTGTCTATTTTTTATTGAGTAACATTTATACAAATTTAAGCCCAGGGCTTAAAAAGAAAAAAACATGATGAGAAGATTGAATATCCCAAGTTTAATGAGCCAATACTCACAAATGAAATGACAGAGCAATGCTTTAAGAATAGAACATTATTTTCTTTTTCAACTTGAAAATTATGATTCAAGAACACATTCAAAATTGAAATGGCAGCTGTCAGGAAGTAACAAAAAACAAATATCGCGGTTATGTCTTCCCTATGTGTTTAAAATGTCAAGTCTGAGTATCTGGGACATCACCGACGTTAGGAGTCCAAGTGTCTTGTATATGTGGACACCTCAAACAGCGTTTAAGGTGTAATATTGGTGCAAATTGGCCGTATAGAAGCGTGCTACAACACATGTTTAAGAACATCGGGAAAGGGATATCAATCATTTTATCATTTTTTTAAATTAAGCCCATGGGCTTAAAAGCGTTTTATTGTTCCTTTTTGAAGCCCAGTGTTAATCACTGTAGTCCCAGAAAACTTCGACAAACTGATTTGCTTGCTTCTTTATCCAAGTGGCGGTGGTGTAGCCTTGTGGTTACAGTGTTCACTCGTCACGCTGAAGACCCCGGGTCGATTCCCCTAATTGGTACAATGTGCGAAGCACATATGTTTCGAAGCGTAGTCGCCAATTTGAAATTAGTGCCGTAAAGCACGAGAAAGCTGCCTTCTGATTGGTCATTCCATTGGTCGGTCAAAGTTCGCGCAAGGTCGGTCTGACGTGACCCGTAATGGGATGTCCTCAGATCTTTGTTTAGCGGTAGCGAAAACTAAGATCTGATTTTAACGAGATTGATATAGGCAACACAATTTATGAAAAATAACCATCCATGGGTATGTTGGTTCAGGCAGGGGGAAATGCACATGTTCTTTTTTCAGATCCTCGATAGAGATCAAACAATTGGCCGTGTGGGGAGCCTGTCACTGCCTCTACACTGTCACTGCAGCCTACTCAAACTGGTATAATAGAGAGGTACAGTATCAATGGTGAACAGTATCAATGTAGACTGCGACTTATTGAGTGAACAATGCAATGTCAGATGTAAGACGGCGCCCTTAAAGTAATTTAGTTTGCGCTAAGGGGCTAAAAGTATGGAACCCTTGAAGGGACACTTTTGCGTTGTCGTCCTTACAAAATGAGAGTGTCTCAATTAACCAAAGCGCCACATCGCGACAATGTCCTGAGACTTACTATTATGACACTTTTTGCATGTTTTGTAATTGCGACAACGCGACGATGTTCCTTCTAGGATTTCATATTAAAGCTCGAACAACAGCCAGCTACGTAAGGGCACGATGGAATTAATCGCCATGTCGCATTGTGTCCTCAATAGGACAGTAACGAAGCACCTTGGCGCTCTATGTATGCGCTATATACTACACCAAGTCTGCTGTTCCAACGCGGGTCCTGGCGGGTCAAAATCGGAAACCATCATGGCATGAGCAACGTTCCGTACCATTGGGTCTTTTTTAAAGCCGACTCTTAAAACATGCGTGGAGTACAGAAGTTTCTCCGACTCGGATTCCTTTATTATTCATCATAACATTTTCTTCAAAGAGTCGACGTTACTTCTATTGTGTTTATTCACGCACGCAAAATTTCTAGTCCCGTGATTGGATTCGGGCCTTGGATCTTCTGATCCGAGGTGGGACGCCTTGTCCACATGGCCAAAGAGGTTAACCCGCCAGCAAGCTGACAAGGTATGGGTGTCATCTGGGTGAAGACTCCACGCCCTTCAACATCTATTTTAATATCTCATTCTCGAAGTTTGTTTACCGTTAGTGTTCGTTTAGGACATCTAACGTTGGCAATCCATGTTTATGTCTATTTTCTGCTATTATAAATTTTCCCTATCAAGTAACAGTTGGGACCTAGTTGGTAAAGCGTTCGCTTCTGGGACCGAATATTTGGTTTGATTCTCCACATCGGTACATCGATAGACCTTAAAATGGTCAAATCTTCGAAAATCATCGAAAAATTCATTCAGTTAATAGCCCATATGCTGTGATTATCATTTTTTCGATCACTCAAAGTCTTTCGGGAGTTGTTGTTTTTGACAGGCGGGAGTACTGCCGAGCGGTGTCAGTCAACAAAAACTTACTTTACTTTTTTACGCAAATTAGGGGAGTGGCGGGTTCTGCATGTTGGGCAGGACATGCTTACCCTTTTCGTGAACACCCTGTGTCATCGCTGATTAAATTTTCATTCATTTAATTGTCACCGCTGTTTTGCATTTTACGTCCAATGGAATCTGTTTCGGCGGATAATCGAGACTGGTTATTTCCTGGCGTTAACGTGTTACATTTAAGAGTGGTCTTGTTCGCGTATATGTGGCATTCTTGCCCATTTCCTAAGGGTAGCAACCTAAATCGTGAGCCTACAAACATTTTTATCATGTCAATATCATATATCAAATAAAGACGTCTGGTAGTATGATGTGACGACCAATAAACCAACTACCTGCTTGAAGCCATTCTCCTGTAGATTATGAAAACTTAAGCGTGATTCTATTAAACAAAGTAATTATTAATATAATGGTATTGCATTGGCTATATTTCATGAAATAGACGTTTTGAATTTCAAGGATTCTAGTCGTATGTCCTTTAACCTGATCAGGTTTTATCAGAGTTATTGCAGGTAATTGTAGAACGTCATAGTCACGATTTTCTGACCGGTTTACAAAAAAACAGAATTTCTGCCACATATATTTAAATTTAACATTGAACTTAAACACAGGGGCACACGGGTGGCCCAGTCGTCTAGGGCGCCGCGATTCGCTGTGTAAAGTTGCGTCCCTCGGGCACGCCAGAAACCTATGATTGTGGGTTCGAATCCCGGTTCGCCCCGATTATGTTTCTAGGTTTGTCAGCACCATACCCGTGCTCGTGTGTTTCACCGAACTGGTAACGTCTGATACCTGCGTCACTTCGGGCTTTCCTCCCAAATTAAGCTGACACGTCGTGATATAACTGAAATACTGTTAAAAGCGGCGTAAAACCCAAATCACTCACTCACTCACTGAACTTAAACACAGACCACATTAGAATGATGTGCACTTTAGGCAAACGAAAGCGACAAAGCCCTTTGCATAATCATTTGACATCTGTCGGGGATGAGTGGTAGCCTAATGGTTAAAGTATTCACTCGTCACGTCGAAGACCCGGGTTCGATTCCCCTGCATGGGTGCAATGTGTGTAGCCTATTTCTGGGGTACCCCGTCGTGAGGCGTAAAATCAAATTCACTCACTAGACTGGTTTCTGTCAAAACCACCATATGCAGTAAGGATAATTTTGACGGAACTATTGTCATACAAGAGTTACCTCCCCTTAAATTATCTCCCTTTGTCGTGAGTGACCAGCCCCCACACAAACTGTTGACGTCCTTTTCACATTAGGTCCATTTTGACAAGGCAAAAAAATGACGGACGGTCGTTTATGGAGTTAATATCACTTCTTGTCGTTTGTTATTCTCTCAAAAATGTTTCCTTATAAACTGTAAATTTCTCATTTAACTCGTCAATCGAGACTGTTCGTTTCGCAAAGCGCCATTTTTGTTACTTGACCCGCATGTATTCTTTCGCTTCCAACAGCGGTCTTCTAGTTTTCAAGAATATTTTTGGTTAGAGTTGTTTATGTATATAATCATATCTAAATGTATGATAAAGAATTTTCGTGACCATAAATATTTTTTTCATACTTTAGTGTATATGTTTTAAGATTTTGCAAACACGAAACTACTTTTTAAGTCGCAAATACAAGGGGCGGTGAACCATGCCTTTGTGTTAGGTAGGGAGAATTTACGTTTCAAGGTTTTACATTTGTAACGAAATAATTTAATCCTCTGGAAGACAACTACACAAAAAGTATATGATACATAGGATATTCCATGTGCCGAGAGAAATATCATATTTCTCTCATCTCGTGACGGGAAAAAAGGAGATATTTTCACTCGTGGTTACGCCAAAATCTCTCTCTCTCCCCCCTTCACTCGATGAAAGAAACTCGACACATGAAATATCCTCTATCTATTGGCCTCTTTTTGATGACAGAGTTACCTTCCACAGATATCACCAGGACGTCACATCTGTTGTTTTTCGGTGAACTGGCATTTACTGCGATAAAGATCGGAGACCAGCCGTGCTCGAAAAGTCAGAAGCACATTTAGGTGTTTTAATAAAATCGATATATATACCTCACATATGCAGTTGGTTTAATTCCATGGCTGTTCAGTTTTTAAAAACACATTAACCAATTGAATGTGCGGTAAGAAAATCCATTCAAAATTCTACCCAAATTCAACAAGATTCACTGGACTAGATGATTAGCCTGGGTCTTCATGAACATAAAGTACTTCTCCTAGACAATGGAATAGATGTTCCTTTGTGTGGAAAATTGGCAACCATCCAGGCGACTGATTTGTTTGTCTTTCATTCAGATACAAACAAGCAGGAACAATGGCGTCTCCAAGCACGTATAATTTCAATGCCAGTAAAGCAATGTACATTTTCTCAATTTAAGATACTGTGATATCAGCTGAAAAGAAAGTTTTGATACAGCGATAAATTAAGATCACTCCAGTGCCCAAAGCAAGCGGACCAGAAAGAAATCACTCTGTTATCTCAAGTTTCAGGATGTAGGTCAATCTAAAGCAGTTAGAACTTAACTGCACAGATATAAGGTGTTA